ACTCCCCAACGGGCACCGCGCACAGCCGGTCCCATCTCACACTCCCCAACGGGCACCGCGCACAGCCGGTCCCATCTCACACTCCCCAACGGGCACCGCGCACAGCCGGTCCCATCTCACACTCCCCAACGGGCACCGCGCACAGCCGGTCCCATCTCACACTCCCCAACGGGCACCGCGCACAGCCGGTCCCATCTCACACTCCCCAACGGGCACCGCGCACAGCCGGTCCCATCTCACACTCCCCAACGGGCACCGCGCACAGCCGGTCCCATCTCACACTCCCCAACGGGCACCGCGCACAGCCGGTCCCATCTCACACTCCCCAACGGGCACCGCGCACAGCCGGTCCCATCTCACACTCCCCAACGGGCACCGCGCACAGCCGGTCCCATCTCACACTCCCCAACGGGCACCGCGCACAGCCGGTCCCATCTCACACTCCCCAACGGGCACCGCGCACAGCCGGTCCCATCTCACACTCCCCAACGGGCACCGCGCACAGCCGGTCCCATCTCACACTCCCCAACGGGCACCGCGCACAGCCGGTCCCATCTCACACTCCCCAACGGGCACCGCGCACAGCCGGTCCCATCTCACACTCCCCAACGGGCACCGCGCACAGCCGGTCCCATCTCACACTCCCCAACGGGCACCGCGCACAGCCGGTCCCATCTCACACTCCCCAACGGGCACCGCGCACAGCCGGTCCCATCTCACACTCCCCAACGGGCACCGCGCACAGCCGGTCCCATCTCACACTCCCCAACGGGCACCGCGCACAGCCGGTCCCATCTCACACTCCCCAACGGGCACCGCGCACAGCCGGTCCCATCTCACACTCCCCAACGGGCACCGCGCACAGCCGGTCCCATCTCACACTCCCCAACGGGCACCGCGCACAGCCGGTCCCATCTCACACTCCCCAACGGGCACCGCGCACAGCCGGTCCCATCTCACACTCCCCAACGGGCACCGCGCACAGCCGGTCCCATCTCACACTCCCCAACGGGCACCGCGCACAGCCGGTCCCATCTCACACTCCCCAACGGGCACCGCGCACAGCCGGTCCCATCTCACACTCCCCAACGGGCACCGCGCACAGCCGGTCCCATCTCACACTCCCCAACGGGCACCGCGCACAGCCGGTCCCATCTCACACTCCCCAACGGGCACCGCGCACAGCCGGTCCCATCTCACACTCCCCAACGGGCACCGCGCACAGCCGGTCCCATCTCACACTCCCCAACGGGCACCGCGCACAGCCGGTCCCATCTCACACTCCCCAACGGGCACCGCGCACAGCCGGTCCCATCTCACACTCCCCAACGGGCACCGCGCACAGCCGGTCCCATCTCACACTCCCCAACGGGCACCGCGCACAGCCGGTCCCATCTCACACTCCCCAACGGGCACCGCGCACAGCCGGTCCCATCTCACACTCCCCAACGGGCACCGCGCACAGCCGGTCCCATCTCACACTCCCCAACGGGCACCGCGCACAGCCGGTCCCATCTCACACTCCCCAACGGGCACCGCGCACAGCCGGTCCCATCTCACACTCCCCAACGGGCACCGCGCACAGCCGGTCCCATCTCACACTCCCCAACGGGCACCGCGCACAGCCGGTCCCATCTCACACTCCCCAACGGGCACCGCGCACAGCCGGTCCCATCTCACACTCCCCAACGGGCACCGCGCACAGCCGGTCCCATCTCACACTCCCCAACGGGCACCGCGCACAGCCGGTCCCATCTCACACTCCCCAACGGGCACCGCGCACAGCCGGTCCCATCTCACACTCCCCAACGGGCACCGCGCACAGCCGGTCCCATCTCACACTCCCCAACGGGCACCGCGCACAGCCGGTCCCATCTCACACTCCCCAACGGGCACCGCGCACAGCCGGTCCCATCTCACACTCCCCAACGGGCACCGCGCACAGCCGGTCCCATCTCACACTCCCCAACGGGCACCGCGCACAGCCGGTCCCATCTCACACTCCCCAACGGGCACCGCGCACAGCCGGTCCCATCTCACACTCCCCAACGGGCACCGCGCACAGCCGGTCCCATCTCACACTCCCCAACGGGCACCGCGCACAGCCGGTCCCATCTCACACTCCCCAACGGGCACCGCGCACAGCCGGTCCCATCTCACACTCCCCAACGGGCACCGCGCACAGCCGGTCCCATCTCACACTCCCCAACGGGCACCGCGCACAGCCGGTCCCATCTCACACTCCCCAACGGGCACCGCGCACAGCCGGTCCCATCTCACACTCCCCAACGGGCACCGCGCACAGCCGGTCCCATCTCACACTCCCCAACGGGCACCGCGCACAGCCGGTCCCATCTCAGAAGACGGGCACGGGCCATGCCCAGCAGCCAGGGATCACCGGGGGCAGGGGGTCACCCCGGGGCAGCTGCTGGGATGGGCGGGGAGGCCGGGCGTACCTGGGGGACGGAGCGGACGAAGATGGCCAGGTTGTCCAGCGTAGCGTTGAGGGTGCCAAAGCTGCCGCTCACGGCACGGGAGACGCGGTCGTTGCTGATGAAAGCACAGATGTTCCCAGCCCTGGGGTCAGGAGAAAAGCGGGGGCAGTGTCAGACATGGCGGGGGAGGGTGAGCTCTGGGTGCTGAGCCCCCAGGCTGCCCACATGCTCCGAGAGCAGGGCTGGGCGTTGGGACTCCTGGCAGCTCCGTCACACCTGCCTCAGTTTCCTCCCTGGGGACGTCCACGGTCGTTGCTGATGAAAGCACAGATGTTCCCAGCCCTGGGGTCAGGAGAAAAGCGGGGGCAGTGTCAGACATGGCGGGGGAGGGTGAGCTCTGGGTGCTGAGCCCCCAGGCTGCCCACATGCTCCGAGAGCAGGGCTGGGCGTTGGGACTCCTGGCAGCTCCGTCACACCTGCCTCAGTTTCCTCCCTGGGGACGTCCACCCTTGGGGCGAGGGGGCATAACCAACAAGCCAGCGCAAAGCACGGCTCGCAAGGAAGGCACCAGCCCTAGAGTGTCACCCCAATCCCAGGTCGACTGACCCCCCTTTCCTGAGGGGCTGCACCCAGCTGCGGAGGGAGGTTGGCAACAGCCCCACGATGGGGTCACCAAGCTGTGCACACTGAGCCTGCGAACTTCTACACCACAGGAGGCGTCAATCCCCGGCCCCTACCAGCTGAGCTATAGGAGAATCGCCTCCAGCGGTATAGGCCTTATGACACAAACATTGGTGGCTCCTATCCTGTCCAGCAGGGGGCAGCATGGCTAGCCGGTCTGTGGCAAGCATTTCTAGACCCCGTCCCCTTCTCAGTGGGAGCTAGGTCCGTGGCCCCTTGGGAGAGCCCAGACTTTGCACAGATTGGCCAATCCGCTCGCCCTCCGCCCCGGCGAATTCCACCCTCTCCATCACAGAGATGGGGAAACTGAGGCACGAGAGCCCGACCTGCCCCAGCAAGTGTGGCCAGGGCCCAGCTGCAAGAGCTGCTCCCCGAGCATGGCTCCAGCATCATCTTGCTGGTCACACTAGGCTACGTCTGCACTCCAGGCTTCTCGTGCAAGAAGCTTTTTGTGGAAAAGATCTTGAGCAAAAACTTCTTGTGCAAGAGCACGTCCATGCTGAAAAAGTGCATTGGAGAAGCGATGCCCTTTTGCACAAGAGAGCGTCCAGACTGCGTGGACGCGCTCTCGAAAGAAAGCGCTGACAGCTATTCCCAGAATGGCCACCAGGGCACCTGGGCGTCTTCCGATTGGCTGATTTTGCGCACAAAATCCCCGTTGCTCGTCCACACAAGAGCTCTTGTGCAAGACGGAGCATGCTGAAAAAGTGCATTGGAGAAGCGATGCCCTTTTGCACAAGAGAGCGTCCAGACTGCGTGGACGCGCTCTCGAAAGAAAGCGCTGACAGCTATTCCCAGAATGGCCACCAGGGCACCTGGGCGTCTTCCGATTGGCTGATTTTGCGCACAAAATCCCCGTTGCTCGTCCACACAAGAGCTCTTGTGCAAGACGGAGTTCTGCCTCGCAGCAGGAGGAACGGCTGCACCGCGACCACCCTCCACCCTGGCGCTTGCCTGCAGATTTACTTGCGCAAAACCGCGTGCGAGCTGTGGGCACAGCGTGGGTCTCTGCGCAAACCCTGTTGTGCAGCCGGGCGCTAACCCCCCAGTCCTGGTGACTAGCTGGGCGCCCTGCCCCAAGGCGAGTCCCAGGCGCCGGCTTGGCCTGCGATGCTCTGACCCCGGGCTGAACTCCCCTTTGTCCTCAGGCAGGAATCTGCTCCTGCGAACAATGGGGACTTCCTGGCCTCGCCCGTTTCCCAGCATCTGCCCCTCCCCAGGCTCCTGCCCCCGGCCCCCTCTCCCCCACAGGTGGCTCCAGGGAGCTGGGTGCCCTCTGCCCAGCTGCTCCCCAGCCAGACCCTCCGGCCCCTGCGCTGGGTCGCTCCCCAGGGCGGGGTCGCAGCGAGAGCGCACGGAAAGCCCGCTGGGGCCAGGCAGAACACGGTACCGCTCAGCCGGGGAGCCGGGGTTTCACGCAGCCCGACCAGGCCAA